CAGCCCGGCTCCGACTTCCCAGGAAGCGCCGTCCAGACCACAGGCTTCGGGGGAGCCCTGGGCGGCGCGGGAGGGGCGCCCCACCCACCCATCCCAGTTCCTCGGAAACGGGGCGCGGCCGGGCCGGCGCCAGCCTCTCCCCTGCCTCCCCGGGCGGCTCCTGCGCGACAGCGGGAGAAACTGAGGCCCGAGGAGCGCCGGTGATGGGCGCTGGCTGGCGGGTCAGAGCTCGGGCCCGCCCGCCCTCCGCGTTATCCGGGAGAGATCCGCGGGGCCCCTCCACACCTGGGCTCGCTCGGCTGCGTCCCCGAGGCCGGGGGCCCGGGGCCTGGGTGAAGGGCGGGAGCCGAGTCCGGAGGGTCGCGGCACCGGGCCCAGGCCCGCACTGCCCCCTGCAGGCCGCCCGCGGGCCGGGCCTCGCCGTGTGGACTGGGTGTGACGCGGGGCTGCTCGGGGCCCCAGCCGCGGGGGCCTCCAGAGACGGAGACAACCCGGCCGGGGCCGGGCCGGGGAGTGCAGGGCCGGCAAAGCCAGGCTCAGACGGGCCTCACCCTGGCCTGGCTGGCTTGGGGCCCTACCGCCGGAGCCACACCTCCAGCCCAGCTTCGGGACGGTTCTTTGGGAGTCCCGGGACTTTTCCGCCAGGGCGGGTTTTCAAGTGGTGATCCTCCAGATCTCTGCCCCTGTGTAGTTAGGATTATGGGTGTGAGCCCTGGACACGGCCAGCACGGTCACTTCTTAACCCGTGACTTCGGTACGCGACTAGCCCTTTTGTCTGGAGCAACCGCGGACCCTGCTGGCGACCACCAGTGCGGGAAGCAAGCGCTGCTAGGTGTTTGTGCCATGGGTCATCTCAGGGTGCCTGCAGCGCAGACATCCCCGGGAGTACCGGCTGGCCAGATCCCCCAGGAGGGGCCCGTCTGGGATGTGACCCTTGACAGTGGGAGAGAAGCAGCCCTTCTGTGCCCTGGAGGAGGTGGGGAGGCTGGGTGGCTCTGAAGGCCTTTCTCCCTGCTGCAAAGGCTGCCACTAGCTGATGGTCCTTCTGCACGGGGCAGGGGAGGGGGTATAACTAGCTCATGGTCCTGCACTGGGGCCGTGTAACTAGCTCATGGTCCCTCTGCGTGTGTCTGTGTGTGTCTGGGGTGGGCTGGGGGACTGGAACTAGCTCACGGTCCCTACACCCTCTCTTCCCATTGGTGGCTTCGGGAGCCTCTTGGGAAAGCACCTCTTGGCCCCAGCCTGGGACCTCCTCTTCCCTTACCCCTTGTTGTCCCTCCCGTCCTGCAGATGCCACCTTCATTCATTCGCTCTGCTAAAGTGAACCGGGAATTCGGGGACTCTGTGTCCCAGGGTGCACAGCTCATTGCAGGGCCAAGGTGGGATCTAACCTGGTGAAGCCATTGTCCTTCTCCATTCTGCTGTTTCCCTCCTCTCCCCCCCCTCCACACTTTCCAGAGAACACAGCTCACACAGGGCAGAGTTGGGGTTCTGACCCTGAAGCTCTGCCCCGTCCAACTGTGCCGTGGGCCCCTCCCCTGCCACCCCGGGGGTCTCCACCTGGGCTGTCATGTCGAAGAGACCAGAGACACCTGCGGAGGCCTCCCCAGGTCTTGCCCTTATGGACCCCAGTCCCCAGTGTGTACGGTTCCCGGTCTGTCCAGTGGACATGACCCCCACCCCACCCCCCGGCCCTCCCTGGGTGGTGAGTCAGGTGCCCGGGGTCACAGGTTCTGGGCGGCAAAAGCGCACTAACAGTCACTCGGCTTAGCTTTCATTTTCTGAAGCCTCAACTTCAAAACGAAACCCAACCCAGACAGCAGAGTGGAAAAAGAAACATGCCCAGCGGCTCCACAGGGCTGGCTGCCAGCTCCCAGGCGTCTGGGCGGCTTGCCTCGGGCGCTCACCCGGCACGGGACACTCCTCCCAGCTTGCCCGGGACCTGCTGCCACCCAGCTGTGCAGCCCTGGGCAGGCGCCCTGCCCTCTCTGGGGTGCAGTTCCTCAGAGCAGCTGTGCGCAGGAGACCTGGAGCAGGGCGCCGGTGGGGCAGTGAGCGCAGCCTTGCAGTTTCTCTTTCCAGCTTGGGCGGCACTCTGCTGGGAAGAGCAGCCCCGCATCATTCTGAAAGTGCTCTCTGCCCCAGTGCCCCTCAGCCCTGCTTTTCCTGGAACACGTTGGCCAGTGAGATTTGGGGGGGAGGGGGCCGTGACCCCTGGGAGCCTGAGTGGGGCCTGGGATGAGCACAAATCTGAAAAGCGGGACCTTCTGTCTCTGGCAGGTACTGACGGAGCACCTAGCATGCCCGGCACTGGGAGCACCTAGCATGCTGTACACTGGGAGCACCTAGCATGTCTGACACTGGGAGCCAGTGGCCCCCAAGCACAGCTGAGACTGAATTCAGTCATTCCCATCATGCTAAGCACCCGTAGGAAAAAATGGGAAGGAAAGGGGGCAACTGAGTATTTGTGGGGGTGAGTTAAACCTCTTACAGCGGTGCAGCAGCGCCAAGGCCTTGATAAAAGCAGGATGTGGAGGGGTGGGCCAGTGCAAAGGTCCTGGGGTGCAGCTGTCTAGCATGCTTAAAGGTCAAGGCAGAGAGTGGAGGGGTGAGGCGGAGGGGTTGGTGGGGTCTGGCCGGCCGGGGGGGGGCAGGTTTCTCCCTGAGTGGACAGGGCGGTCATTAGGCACATGTGGTCGTTGGAAGAGCCCATGTCCCCCTAGGACTGCCCCTACACGAGCCGTGGAAACGGGGGCTGTGGGAGAGCCGGGACCCCAGGCTCCCTGCCGCAGGTGGGCAGCACCGCTCTGACTGTGCCCCTGGGTGGAGCCATGGCCCAAGGGCCCAGAGGGGCAGGGCACCCTGGCCAGGCACCCCTGGCTTGAGGCCTTCCTCCCTGTGTCGGGCAGAAGGTCATCTCTGCCCCTCATTCTTTCCTGCGGTGGACCCCAGGTCCATGGAGAGGGATTCAGGGACTCCGGCGCCCTGGAGCGAGCGGCAGGCTGCAGCGGTCCTGGGAGGACAGCAGGAGTGTTCCCGACGTCTCGATCTGTTCACGTGTCCCAGGCCCTCTGCCCCACAAACAAGCGAGACGTGGGCAACGGGGAGCCTCCCAGTGTCCACAGAGGCTGCAGGGCTGACCCCCGATGCCCACCCCCATCACGCCATCATCAGAGCGCAAACAGCCAGCGCACGGAGTGGGGGGGGCAACAGCGCAGGCGTGCGCCCCCCAGCGCAAGGCCGGACTGACCAGGCTCCCAGCTTCAGCCTTGTGTTTCGGGGCCCGCAGGCTGGGGAGCACCTGGCCCTGTGAGGAGGGGTGAGCCCAAGTTTTCCAGAAGAATGGGCAGGATAGAGGGCACAACTGGCAGTGTGCCATGGAGGGCCCTGCGCGGGTGAGGCCCAGGCCCGCTGCTGTCCCCTTCCTCTGCCAGCTCCCAGGCCTTCCCTGGAAGGCTGGCATGCATCCGCTGGCCTCCAGAGGGACTGCGTGAGACGCCGCACGGAACAGCGCCTGTGTGCTAACTGTCCTGTCAAGTGACAGCGATCAGACAGTGCGGGTCCTCAGAGACCGCTCTGGGGGTCCCCCACAGACCCCA